AGCGTCCATTCAGCAACTACAGATGAGTGACTTCCACTGAAACCTGAGCAGTAAGACCAAACATTTTATTTTAAATACTAAGAAAATTCCCTTTAGACAGAGAATGGGTGAGAAGTCTTCATCATCATAACACCAGACTCACGGGCAGCCACAGCACAAGAGCCCTAGGTGTGGATCACGACCCAGAGAGTCAGGCAGAGGTTTAGATTCTGATGGTTCATCAAGCTGGAAAACACTTTTTAAAAATTATTAAATCCACTGTGGGCAGCAGAAAGAAGAAAAAGTAGTGAATCCTTAAGCTATCAGCGGGAATTCCTCAACTTCTGTCAAAATGTTAGCATTATACCTTTGCCCAGAAATTTCATTTCAGAGAAACTACATCCCAAGTAAGTAACCAGCAAATGTATTAAGACATCTGTAAAACTATACCCATCCTTATGTTACATATGATATTAAAAATTAGAAATATCTCAATGGCCATCAGGAGGAAATCAGTTATATAAATTACAGGAAGGCCAACAGAATCCCAGGTGACCATTAAAAAACATGATGAAAACCTCGGGCTGTTGTGTATATGAAAGGCTGTAAGTAACATTTCTTACAATCAAGTCAAAATGCTGATAGGGAACAGTATGAATAGTAAAATTCCATTTTTATTTTAAAAATGTATATACACAGAAAAATCTCCAGAGAGTATACATTTAAATGTTAAAGAATATACAATAAAGAATAAGCAATAATGATCATCGGGCAGGACATTTTGTCTTGAGATTCTTTATGTCCTTCATTATACATTACACATATTTATACTTCATTACACATTATACATATTTATACTTCCTTTATTTCATATTTCTATATTTTCTGAAAATTTACAATAACGATTTAATACTTTATCATTAAAAAAACAAAACAATGACTTGATTCTTGGTTTTTTTTTAATTTAACAGACTTTAGAGGTTTGTGGTTCTCAGAGGTGAGGAACAAGAAAAAATTAGGACTGTTGAGTGCCACATCAGTTAGAAACAGTGTCACGAGTGTCATAGGAGAGCAAAGGCTGCCTGCCTTGACCGGGGGCCACATACACACTGGGGGTGAAGCTAAGTACTTAATTACCTTCCAAGAGTAAGGTGCTCAGAGCAGACATTTAGAAATTACTTAGGTCTACATAAATTTTGCCTTATTTGCTGTCTGTAATTTTTAATACTGTTAATCATACCTTCCTCTCCAGAATTCTTTTCTTCCTTAACTTTCAATCAATCACTCTCTCCTGCATGGTTAAAAGTAAACTCCAGGCTTTGAATTTCTTTTTAAACTCTGCTGATTCCTCTCTTTCTCTCATCCTGTGAAAATAAGTGTCCCCTGGATTCCTCTCCTTAAAGCTGCTCTGTTCCTGAAAGTTCTTTGTACTCAGTCTCCTTCGCCCTTCATTAGCTTTGCCCATCAACATTAGGACTCAGACCTCGATCTTTTACCTGGGTTCGTACGCCACAAACCCATCTGTTCTTTGGACATTTCCCATTAAATGGCCCAATGGCTTCTAAAAGTCAATGTAAGCCAAAGTAAATGTGTTACCCATCCCCCACACACACCCACGTACACGCTTCAGCCACACGTAATCCTTCTGCATTTTTCTTTTTTGATGATAACATTGTCTCAGCCTCTCCAAATATCAGAGCTTTCAGAGTCAGCTACAACCTTTTGTCTCTCACCACTCCACAAAGTCCTATAAATTCTGCCTCCTAAACAGCTCGCATATTTGTTCTCCACGGCCATCACACTGGGTTACATTTCTTGAGATTATTTTAATAATCCTTAAATGGCTTCTAAGTCTTTCACCAAGCTAAGCTTTCTTCTGATATGCATAACTAATCATGCCATTCCCCTATTTGAATTCTTCATGGGATCACCACTGTCTTCAAATTCTCCATAATCTTTTCTTACCTTTTTTAGACTCATCTATGTTTATCTTCCCACATAGACTGTGTCCCTAAATTCTCCTAAACGTACTTTACTTTCTTATGCCTTCATACCTTTTTAGTTTCTCTACTATCAGGATTCAACTTGTCAAGGATCCACTTCAAAGCCACTGGAAGGTTACCTCAGAGTGCCTTACACAGGAGACGATTCTATAGTTAGAGAGTTGTCATTTAGAAGGCCTAAGATAACATAATCAAGTAGAGAACCAGAATTATTTTCAAGGAAAAATTAAGATCAGTAAAGTTATAGTTCATAGTAAAACAATGTTGCCCAGCAGGAAGAAAGAAGGGAGGGATTGAAATAGGAGATGTTAGTTTGCAGTCAAGAAAGTTTAAAGAAAGAAGAATTAAGGTTCAGAAAAGAGACCTTGGATAGTAGTTCCGATTGAGACGATAAATCGACGGTTGGTGCTGGCTAGCCACTTTTATTTAGAAACTGAGAAATGGAAAAGAAGACAAGTGTCATTGTAATCACTCTCCCAGCCGCCGACTCCACCAGTCTCCTTGATCATGGTTGATTGAATCAAGCGTAGATCCAAGCTAAACGTGATGCAAGTTAGACCCAAGTACCTTCCAAATAAGGTGAACCAGGGACAACCTGAGACAAAAGGCAGTGTGTGAGTTGAGTTAGATCATGACGGTGGCCTGTCGAGTGCTGTGTCTGACCTCCCCAGAACGGCCACGGCTTCCCTCCTGGAGGTTAGGTTTAGACTGCCCAGAATCTGTCACTAAATTTCCTTTTTGACTTGAGTATACCAAAACGTCTCTAAATCATTTGGGAACAAAGCAAATTAGAGAAAACTATGTTTTCAATATGATTTCTTTTGTCCAAAAAAAGAAAAAGGCACTTAAAGTTTAGACTTAAAACAACAACAGATAAATCCAGACCCGAAGAGTATGTTGAAGTCCAGTGCTGGTGGAAGGTGCCTGCCGACTCTCATGACTGTAAGCCAGCTGCTCTCCTGGTTGCTGTTGTGGCCTCCAGTTGGTAACACGCAATTTGATGGCAGGTATTGCAAAAATACTCAACACAGATGGGCAGACACGGGAGAAGAGTGGCCTTCAATTGAGGGCAGAGTGTGTCTTACATGAAGCTATAGCATGCACTCTTTATGAAAGGACCCCTCAGGAAAAAGTGTTCCTACACCCCTGCCACTTGAGTTAATGAATAAGTCAACGATTTAAAATTTCACTTTCCAGCAGATAAATAACTGAAATGCAATGCTGAAAGAAACAAGCCAGGATTACCTAATGAGAGAAATAACTCTACAATGATGACAAAGTGCAGTAATTCCAGGAGAGTCATTGTTCAAATTGACTCTGGTAGCACAAGCAGAGAGGAAAACCGGAATTGAGATAAACCAAAGTTATACTAGGAAAATGACACATCCAAAGACTTGAGTGAAAACAAGAAAGCAAATGGTAGGAACAGTGGTCTTCAGTGCAAGACATGAGGATGACTCAGGAAGAATCTCTCTGTTTGGGAAACACTTTCTAATATGTTCCTCAAACTGCAAGTTCATTCCTCCATGACAGCATTTACCCTACTGAGATCACTGACTGTCCTGCAGATGTTTCGCACAAAACCGAGTTCATGAAGGGAAAGGACAGCCCAGCACATAACACAGCGCTCGGCACAGAGCGGGGCTATAAATGGTTGCTGAAAGCGCGTTGAATGAAATCGGCATGAGCATACTATTTGGAGCACAAAAGTAGCATTTTAGTCTCATCTAGATAACTAGAAGAGAATGATGGAAGCAAATATATTTAAATAAAGATACTTCTGAAAATGCAAATAGATTGCCTTCATATAGCATTCTTCTTCAGAGTATAAATAATTGCCTAATTCATCAGAGAAACTTTTAAACATTAAACTGATGCTGGAGATAGGAGGGGAATAAAGCAAATCCGTCTTGCTTGTGAAAAATTAAAGTGTGCATTTATTCTTTTGCCAAATCCTCATATTCTAGGAGAATAATATCTTTGTGCATATTTACAACCATCTAATGAAGTGTTTGTTAAATCTTTAACCTACCTGGAATCAATCACAGTATGCCTTCACACCAAGCAAAACATTTGCACTGCTTTATTAGACACTGAGACCTGTGCTTCTTAAAAACTGCCTATTCATGATGTGGTCATATCTTTAAATATTCCAATATATATCAAAGAAATATGTATTTGAAAACATCAATTCCAGCTTTGAAATCTCAGAATGCAGAATTTAATTGGTAGAAGATCTGAAATCAGAGTAAATCTAATTGCATCAAATTTTGTCCATGATCAAACTATGAGCCTAATCTCACACAAAGGTCCTAGTGGCCCTGCTAATTATATCAGGAGAATATATATTCTTCCTCAGTTGCAAAGAACTATAACAACAACAAAACTAGTTATAAGATAGGTGCTCAAGGTTCAATTTTAATCAGTTTCTCTAGTATTTATAGAAAGATAATTTTTAAAAAGTGTCAAAGGAATTGCCATGTATGACAAAATCTTTCTTCTTAATCTGTATAAAAATGTTTCAGCACTGTGGTGAATTGGAGCCTGGAGTTGCATTCTACTTGTGAAAAAATCCACAATAACAGAACAAGAAGTCCTCCAAGAGGCTTAATTTAAATTTTTTAAGATTCCATCTGTTTTTCTTTTCCCCAATATTTTAATGTTCAGAAAGGACATATTTTATTAGCATTATTACAAAACTTTAGAGACATCATAGCGTAGTGAAAAACATAGCCTTGGAATGAGTTAGAAGTCAATGTAATGTCAACCCCCCATTACTTTGGACAAATTATATAATCCACTTGAGTCTCAGTCTACTCAGTTATGAGAAGATAAATGATATCTAACTCATTGAGTTGATGTGAGAAATTAAGCAAATGAGATAACATAAAATTCTTGATACAAGGTAGGTTCTGGAGAAATTTATCTGTTTGAGAATCTTACTTTTTTTTTTTAATACATGAAGATTTGTAATATAAAGGGAGAGCACACAAAGGTGGAGAGAAAAGACAGAGATTATAATGTCAAAGAAAACTAATATGCTGAGGTCTAAATGTCACTTAGAGGTAAAAATCTATGCTGATTTCTGATGGCTTTATCATGATGTGGGGTCAGCCATCTCCCCACCATCTTGCCAGCCCTTTGTCATTCAGAAAATGATCACTTAGCCCCTGGACTTATGGTTTGGTGGATCTAATGAAACCTTTGCCAAATCATTGCCCTTTCTTGTTTTATTGTCCCTGTAGAGTGAGGAAAACCCTGATAAAAATAATAGCTGGAATAATTGGGGAAAATAGCCTTTCATTCACTGCCTTTTAAACTGATTTCAGAGAATCTGTACTTTTATATGCTTTGCCTTGGACAAACTCCACTTAAAACGAAAAATATTTCAATATTTTTTATTAGTTATCATTAACATCCCTCCATTTGGCTATTATTTATATGCCTTTAAGGTTTGGACCTAAGTTTTTTAAACATTTTAAAAATATACTGTCTGAACAAACAATATGATGAGAGTAGTCTGTTAAATTTCACTAATCCCATCATCTTGACCAGGAATTTAAAAAGAGAAAAGAAGAAAAGAAATGTTCTCATGTTTCTGCCCAGAAGAGTACTAATGGGTTATGAACCCTTTCAGAGTCTCAGAGCAGAGAGAAAAAATAGTTGCCTTGGTAACAAGGCAGACCAATCAGCTGCATACAGTCTCCCCAGAGCATCTAATTTATTCAGCAAATGCAGGCAAGAACAGGTGGCCAACCTAAATGATGCCAAAAGCCTCAGCTCTCCAACATACGTGCCCTCCCCCCATCAGGTTTTCTTGTACACAAAGTTTCATTCTTGTCCTTCATGAAGAGAGAGTTAAAAAGGAGCATGTCAGTGGGCAACTTAACATGTTAGTAGACGAACTGTCAGAACTCATTATTTTTTAATTTTCTGAAAAAAAAATAGGTGTATGATTTCAAGAAATGATTGTACTGACAACTTAATTCTACTAGTTACTTTGAAAGTGGAGGTCCTCCTAACTGCTATCATAAAATTCTGTTATTTGTATTTTAATAGATCAAATCCTATTGTAAGTTTTAGTATCAATAGAGTTGATCCTAGAGATCGCAATTATTGCTGTAGACAATAAAGTGTCACAGAAGTTCCAATTCCTTAAGCCCTCTGAAAGCACATAGGTATTTGTAAATAATTCTGGATCTTAAAAGGGAAAAATGAAAGAGAAATACCAGCCTTGTTAAAGTTATGTTTATTTAAGCATTAAATAATCCCTTTCACTATATCTAAAGTTATAAAGGAAAAAATCTGGAAAACTAATAGTAAAGCATAAACTTTTCATACTATCTAAGGACTTTTGTGACCTAGACTCAGTTTCCTTTTCCAATCTCATCTCCAAACGCACTCTCAAATAAATGCTGATCTTCAAGCAACAGAATGCCAATGAAATCTACTCTTCCCATCTCTTGATGTTTTCTGTGTCTTAGAATGTCCTTCCAGCGCTGGACTCTGCTTAACACTTATCCATTCTTCAAGGCTAAGTTCAATTATTTTCTCTCCCCAAAGCTTTGTCTTACCTCCCCAGGAAGAATTGCAAGCATCCTCCAGTGCTCCCTCTGCCAATGACTCCATTGTCTGTTTCTGTATCTAACTTCTTCATCAGATTGAGTCCCCCAGACCTTAAATGTAGGAACTATGTTCTCTTTGTCCTTCATCTCCCGTTAGTACCTGGCTCATAGTCTGAAATGATAAATATTTGGTAGAAGGATGAATGAATGAACGAGTGAATGAATTGTGCTTTATTAACACAAAATCTGCACAAACACCATACACAACAAAACATTTTTAGATATTAAAATTTTAAAAAATCTCACTAACAATGAAGTGTGCTTGTACTAGTAAAGGTCTGTATTTTTTTAATGAGTGGAAACTTTTATGCAAATGAAGTCTTGAATGCAGCTTCTCTTTTAAACCTGAATGTCAAGCCGTCATCCAGGCTGCTGTGTCTGTTCATTCCCCCTCTCAAAGCATTTCTACCAAAAACCACAGGCTTCTAAGAGCAGAGCTTGAAAATACCGGGCTAGACTTACAACACATTCAATTTTGTCTTTCTGCTTCTCATTACATAGTAATCACATAAGCAAGTGTTTGTTGAAAATGACATTTAAAATAGGAGGCAACATTGGCTAGGAAGTTCAGGTCTTGGCGTTTCTCTATTGATTTGCTTTTGAAGTCTTCCAATTGTTTCCGAAGGTGACCCTTGCTGCCTGAGGATGTTTCCTTGGCAACAGGGATGACTGCTTCCAGCATGTAAAGAAAAGGCGTCTCTGTTTGTTTTATACCCAACTACCACCCAGAGATGCTATGTCGCTTCAAAGAAAGCAAAAATCTCTCATTTTTAAGTACAAGATCAGCTCTCCAGTTCACAGGCTACACATTACTCTGGAAAACAAGAGGTGGTGATAATTATCCAACAATAGTTTCCTCACCTCATGAAAAGGACACACCCTCTATGTCGATGCATTTTTATTCTTCTTCCCTAACTATCCAACATGCCTGCCTATGCATACACACATACACACAAACACACACACACACTCACACACACACACACTCACACACGCAACACACCATTTCTTTTTGCTTTTTTCATTTTCTGCATTAAAGCTTTTTGCTTGTTATCAATGATCTCCTTTCTGTATGGTCTCTTTTTTTATTTATTTCCTCTTTCCAGTAATGGCTTCTTTGCACATCTCTGTTTCCAACATCAAACAAATTCCAAGTCAACCTATATGTCCAAAAAAGACTTGATTAGAGCAACTGACATTTGATCAACTTGCATGACCCAATGTTATTGCAAAATGAGATGGAAAAGTAAAATAGGTCTTGAAATTAATGTTGTTTATGATCAATTCACTTTTAATTCACATTTGCTTATATATTCTTTAAAGTGATATAACAATAGTTTATTTGTTCTGCTTTGTGTCTCCCAAAAGCAATTTGAGAACATTTCTTTACCATCAATGAAACTTCTTTGTGCCAATTTCATACAATTGCACAGTCACATCACAAAATGGCTGGAAAACTTAGTGCCAGACATATCTTCATATTAGTGGCATTATTTTGTCTGAATTTTGTATTTATAAAAAAAGGAGATGATTAATAAGGTTGTGTAGAGTTTTGTTGGGAAAAAAATTATTCCTAAAGGAAGCTTCCAGATATCATTTTTGTTCTAATTTCAGTGGGGAAATAACTAAATAAACTAGATCTTTAGAATGGATAATAGCATATAAAAAGGCTCAAACTCATAGCTCAGTTTTTTCAATGTAGAATGTAAAAACCCTAAATATAAACAGCAAAAGTACAATATGACTTATTTTATATCCAAAGTAACCATGGAATACAATTTTTAAAATGATGTCACTTAACACATAGTGTTATAAATCCGTAGATCTAAAACATATTTTATTATAATAAATTCAGAAACTTAGATCTGCAATGTACTTTAGAAATAAGGTAATCCTTTATTTTACATATGAGAAAATGAACGCCAAGGAAAAGTAAGAAATATGCTTCTGCAAATTGGTCTTAGACCTTGGATGAGTATCAGAAAAATCTTTTGATTTTTATTTGCTTATCACATAAAATGTTCACAATGAAGTCATTGAAGACAAGAATTACATTTTGCTTTTTCTTGTTAAGAGTTTTGTTTTATAGTATAATGCTCAACTTTCAACAATCTCCAATAATTTATGCATGTTAGGAATACTTCCAGCTAAAAGTAACAGAAAACACTACTTAGGGTGACAATAAATATTGGTTTATTTTTCTGACATAACCAGGAGTCCTGAGTGAGGCAGTTGTCACAAGTTCGGTGGTTTCAGCATGTTAGAGTTGGCATTTCTGAAATTCTCTTGGGGTTTCATCATATCTGCCTCACAGTCACAAAATGGCTGCAGAAACTTTCAGTATCCCGGTCTGCCTTCAAGAAAAAAGGGAGAAGGAGCCATGCCAGCCTTTCCTTTATATTAAGAGAGAAGGAGCCATGTTTTTCCTTTATATTAAGTAAACAAGAGCTCTTAGCAAGTTCATGCTCTTGTCTCAATGTCCAGAACTAAAGAATATGCCACCTCTCACTACAAAGGAGACTGGGAGCATGAGAACTTAGTAATTTCAACTGTTATAACAGAGGTAACAATGGAGAAATTAATTTAAAATACCCAAGGAGAGGCTAAGAAGATTAGATGCTTATTTTTTGATGGATAGGTAGGTAGATAGATGATAGATAATATAGATAGATGATAGATGATAGATAGATAGATAGATAGATAGATAGATAGATAGATAGATAGATAGATAATACAAAGATATCAGGAAATAAACAAACAAAGAAACCAAGAAAGAGATCAAAACAGAAAAAAGGAAAAATGTATTCCACTACATCTTAAAATAGAAAAATGAGGTATTCAAAATGAGAAACAGAGGTGATACGAAGCTGCATATACATGCTTTCTAAATGCCTCCCATAGTAGGATCCTCGAAGCAAGTTCAGAGGACTGGTAATCAATGCAGGCCAACAGAGAAGGTACAGCAATCTGAGAGGACATTGAAAACTTGTACATTTAGCCAGTTGGTAGGTCAAAGGAAAGCTCAGGGAAACTATTGCCAAGAAACTTAATCACTTAGAAGCGTCTGAAATTTAAAATAATTACACAGTGTGAATAATTTAAGATAATTTTTGCACACTCTTCTTAACACAGAATTAAAAAAGAACAATATTATTACAAACTATTTGTCATTTGACTCTAAAGTCACTTCCAAGCATTCTGAAAGTGTTTAAGAATATTTGCAGAAGCTTTCTTTTCTTTTGGGTCGTGTCATCCAATATGAAAACTAAGTGGGCTGGTTGAATTGCTACAGAATCAAGTCAGCAGGTTTAACCTCTCAGTCACCTCTTAAAAACGAGTATCCTTTCTCCTCTTAAAAACAAGTATGAAGGATTATGCTACCTCTCTGTCCTCCATTCCCTTCTAGAATGGAGTAATTATGTACAATGCAGTCATTCAATAAATAGTTGTTACCTGAGCAGGTAAAAATTAATTCTTTGTAGGCCAATTGCCTACTAGGCAAATATTATCCTACTTTGAGGTGAAATTCGAAAGATTCTGCAAAACTCTACTGCAACATGAGTTGCACAGGAATAGAGTTAAACATCAGATCTTTCTCCAGAAAATAGCTCATTGACAAAATTTTAGACAATTAATGTTTTAAGAGTGGGAAGTGCATGCTTATCTTTTTGTCTCCGTCACCAAGCCCATTGCCTAGCACATAATAAATGTGTGTAAAATGAATTGCTAATCAGATTTTATATTGAGTGATTACTTAAGTGGTGGCAATCGATATTTTGGTTCAAGCCTTAAAGTAAAACTCGATTGACATGTTTCCAATGAATATTCAACCCTTGAACTTCAGTCTTAAGAATATTATTCAAGCTCCAAAGTATTCGTCTTCCCAACCAGAAGGCTAAAGAAAATCTGAGAGGAACTTCATAAGACCCAGGTCCCAGTTAAGCACACATTCCCACACGCGTGCACGTACATACATATCATATAGCTCTTTCTTCTCATATCATTCTGGGCTTATAAAAAAAATTGTTCTCAGAGAGAGAAAGGGGAGTATAACCAAGAAGCCTGGGGGGTTTGTCTCTAAGAATACAGAACGAAATAACCCTATGAGGAACAGGATTCTATAAAATCATGTTTATTAATTTTTATCTATGCAGTTCCAAATATAATTTATAACAAGTGTAAATGAAGATAATATATTTCTTTATGGCTAGAAGATTAAAAACATTGCTTTTTTAAAAAAATAAAATGAACTCTTTTATTAGTACTCAAACCATCCTGCAAGCAGAGCTCCCCGTTGACACGGTGGTACACACGGTTCTACGACAGAGCAGCATATGCATTGTCAACAAGTCAGACGTTGCATTATTGAAATAGTTTTACCACAGTCTCAACTCTTTCACTTGTGATAATTTTTTGCTTACATGCAAGCTTAGCTAGGTGAGCGTGATCCCATGTTAATACCCTATGAGTGTGAATGTGTACATTTTTTAAAAGCACTACAATTCCTCTCTCATTGATTTCAGCAAAGCCATGAGAAGTTCAGTATCCTTCTCACATAACTGCAAGCACAAGGATATTTTTAGTGTATTTTGTTCCATAATGAAAAGGAACCAAAAATAAAAAAGAAAAAAGAAAAGAAAAGAAAGAAAGAAAAAAGAAAAGATCCAAAGCAAAACATACAAAGGACAGAAATAAGTCAGCTGAAAAACAGAAGGCTGCGGCGCTAATTGAACATTATTACCTTTTTCTCAGGGTGAGGAAAATGCATCATGGTCATTTCTGTCTTTTCTCACAGAGCTGATTTAAAACCCCCAGCTGAGAAGGCAGCTGCGCAGAGCAGGGAACTGGTGAGCTCAGCAGGAGTCCTACATCCTACTGCTACTTCCAGAAATTCATGCTTTCTTTCAGTTGCTGTGTTGTCGTTAGTAATGCCAGAAATGTGAAATGGTGTCCTCTTTTCTGCAGCAGTGCTACAAAGATCACAGCGACGTGTCTTTAAGGACTTCAAAAGCCTGAAACACCGTGTTATTGTTATTGTTATTTATTTTCAATGTAACCTACAAAGAGCAGGCAGTTGGCTACTTTTCAAGGTTTTTGAAATTCTGAAGCACTTTCATTAATCATGTTAATGGAATGGATGGCAAAACAGACATGAAAGTTGAAGCATATGGGAGAGGGGGTGGTAAGGTCTCTTTTTTCCTCCTCCCCATGGAGGGGAAAAAAAAAAGACTTCAGAATTATACTGTGATTTTTTCCCCCAGATTGCAACAATGAAATCCTTATCTTAAAAAACAAAACACTATATCTTATGCCTCTGATAAAAGTAGCAATACAAAATGAACTGCAACCTGAAATAAAGCTACATATCTTAAAAGCCCTTGAAAATTGAATGAATTTATTACCTGTTTCCATATAGTGGCATCGAAAATGGTTTATGAAGTATTCTGGAAATAACTTAAAAAATAATAATTACAGGGAAACTACTGGGCAACAGAATGGCTGAAGTTGCTGGCTGCAAGATGAGATTGATGTCACAAGGTTGTCATAGGTGAATAAAGCATGTCATATTCAGAGCAAGAAATTCTGGTGGGGTTTAGCCTTCTAAATCAAAGGAAAAACAATCGGTTATATTTCTGAAGGTACCATTGATTTAAATATATATTTTAAAACACATATAATGTATATTATATATACATATACATACTAATGTATAAAATTACATTTATATGTATAAAATTTACACGCATGTTGATAAGTATTTCAAGGACATTAGGCTCCAAAATCTAAAATAATATTTACTGTTTCAATACTTTGATTATTAAAGTATTTAAAATAAAACTTGAACAGTAATTTTAAATATATATTTTATAATTGAGTACATTTCTGTTACTACTTGAAGGCAGCGACCAGACATAACAGTTACTAAAAATAACTAATAAAAAGAAATGTATTCTAAATCATTTTAGGAGTCTCTTTTATTTACATTTAGTTAATTTTATAAGTCAGTTATGGGGGAAATGTAGAGCTGAAATATTAACATTCAGAAATTCTTACTTATCTAAGGATCGTGTCGTCCAATATGTATTTATGACAATAAATTTAGTGTCTAGAATTTTATCATGCTAACTTAAAACCAAGATTACATAAAACAAATATTCAGATACATATATGATGGATATGTGCCTTTCTTGCAGGAAGTCTCCTTTGTTTTTCAAATGGATTTAACTAAAAATGTTAGGAAAATAGAAAACTAATACATTTTCCATTGTTGCATAACAAATGACCACCAATTTAGCAGCTTAAAGCATAAGTTTTCTCATTTTGGAAATTTATACGCAATAATTTTATAAAGAAGCATGCAGCTCAAAAATGTTGGCTTAGCATGATTATAGTAAGTTTTTCTTATTCATTCATTCAGTTCCAGTAGCTATTGTTGAGATTTATGCCAATATTTGAAATTTTCACCCTGGAGAAATTATTTAAAGATTTTATTTACAAAAATGCTATTTATAAAAATATCAAATATTCAGATTTAGTCTCAACAAATACATTTCAAGGCCATCCAAAGATGCTACTATGTATAGGAACATGAAGATAATGCCTGATGAGAAATTGAGTTATAATATCTGCAATAGCAATATCTTAGAAGTGTATTTTTCAACATTCTCCAAAATAATTTCAGATACCCACAAGACACATGTAAAAAAATCGGCCTCACATATAAATATAATAATTAGAAAAACTCAAATAAGTTAAAAATTGTATTCAATTTTAGTCTATTAAATAATTTTTAAAATATAAAATTTACAATAACAATGGAGGTACAGTATCATATATAACTATTGATAGTTCAAACTGGTATACGGCAGTTTTGCAGGAAAATAATGTCAGTAGAGCGAGCAAAGGAAAAATGACCACAAATTGATACTAATGGCCACCTCTGGAATCTTTTTTTTAAAGCTATATTTATAATGGTGCTCAGCATATTACATCATAGAATTGAAAAGGTGGAAAAACTAAAAGTCTAATAATAAATAAATCATTCCGGAAAGTGAAAATTAGCCCTGGTAGTGGGCAGTTAGGGCAAGGCTGTGATGAATGACACACACGAAACATCAATACTCATCAACTTGTTTGAGGTGTGGCTGTGACTAGTCTGAAACAAGACAGAGACCAGAACACTCTGCAACCACAAAACTAAACAACCTTTCTTTGTACTAACTCAAGTGACTACTACTTATTTACCAATGACAACACAGATTTCTTTATTAACATCTTCCCACCTCCTAGAGAATGAATGCCAAGATAACCAATCCCTGGATCGCCTCTAATTTCTGACAGCATTCAATTCAGAAATGCCCTCTTCTCTTTAAGCCCTACTTAGAATCACCCAGCATAAGTCCAGTCCTTTAAAAAAAACCTCTCCCAAATTCTTCTACTGAGACGTCGACCATTCCTCTAGAGAGAACTCTTTCTTGCTGCAATATGCTTAATAACCTTATTTTGTTTCATTAGGTGTGTTCTCCTGGTCTTCGGCTGGTGGATTTCAGTAAGGTAAACTGTGACAATCTTTATAATGAATATTATGCAACCATTCCAATGATGCCGTACAAAATGGTAAAATGTGACAATAACTACAAGGAAAACATTTAAAGAAAATATATCAGTTGCTGTGGTTAAAACACTGAGTTTATTCTTATTTTTCTTCTCAGTAATTTCTTCCTTATTTTCCTATTTTTTCTAACTTCCTTAAAGTTCAGTAAATTCTTTTTCTAATAAAAATTATTTTGCTGAAAATATGCAAAATATGAATGTCTTAGCCCATTTGGGCTGCTATAATGAAAATACTGTGACTTTGGTGACATAAACAACAGAAATTTATTTTTCACAGTTCTGGAGACTGGGAAGTCCAAGACCAAGGCACTGGAAGATTCAGTGTCTGGGAAGAGCCTGGTCCCTGGTTCTTAGACAGCCAACTTCTCAGTGTGTCCTCACATGGTGAAAGGGGCAAGGGAGCTTTCTGAGGTCTCTTTTATAAGGATACTAATCCCATTCATGAGGGCTCCACCCTCATGACCTAGTCACTCCCCAAAGGCTCTACCTCCAAATATTGTTATATTGGGGATTAGATGTCAACGTATGAATTTTCAGGAGATACAAATATTCAGTCCATACCAGTGAAAAAGAACAAAATCTCTTTTCTCAATTACATAGAGCTCAAATATATATCTTATACACTCATTTTTTCCCCTCTATTCAGAAAGAAAAAAATGTACACAGAATCATTAATTTATACATATTATTAATTGACTTGATGGTCCTAAGTTAATAAGCATAATGATTGATAATCCATGCACATAATTAGCTGACTGATGGATACATGTAATGAATTAATTTATATGCATCGGTAATTATTCAATACACATAACACTGCAATAATTCATTCCTTTACATGTTCATTAATTTATGTTTTGTGTCCATTCATTTATTATTTCATCAAATATGTATTGAGTTTCTTTAATTTTCCAGACCTAGGGCTAGGCGTTGGTGAGGCAGAGTTGAACACAATTAACTGCCTACTAGAGAGAAACTCACTCTGCAGTGCGGAGGTAAAGAAGAAATATGTTATTAAACAGAGGGATGCAGGCCCCGTTCTCATACAGATGATTCCATGGTAACTGTCGAAAGGACACTTCCTTGGATGACAGAAGGTGGGAGTGGTCAGGGGTGACTTCAAGAAGGAAGTGATGCTCACCGTGAGTTCTTAATAACAAGTATGTGTTTGTCAGGCCAAGCAGAGAAAGAAGAGTATCCCAGGCTGTGTAAGAGTCTATAATTAAGAGCTAAAATGAGAAAGACAACTAATGCTTTAAGATTTTAGAAAAGTTGCGATCATCGTGGGTAAAATCAGTGAAAGGTTTGTAAAGGAAGTGGTACTCGACGTAGACCTTAGAAAATGGAGAAAGCATGGAAGAGAGCAAGAGGATTCAACCAGGAGTGATGACATAAGCATTCATTCTAGTCTGTGACGTGCTGGGTGACACAAATTTTGATACCATAAGTTTGCTTGTGTCCATAGAGAGCCATCAGATAAATTAGGAATTTTAGTTTTGGAGCAATCACTCCAAGTGCCGTTCTATGAATTACAAATTAAATCAGATCTCTCACGTGGCAAACCATTTCTATAGGAGGTTCACATACAAAAAGTCAGCTGAAAAGCTTAGATGAGAACTTTCTGATCGACCCCAGTTGTCCCACAAAGACACTATCTGTACCATGAATGCCCTCACAGGACTACAAAGAGATTTCTCTGAGACACACTGATATTTTTATGTTCTCTGAGTTGGGCCAAAAACGATAAAAGCGGGAGGAAATACTTCTTTGAAATTAACTAGCTTTTAAAAAAAGAGGAAAATCAGTCAGATTTTGATGGATAAAACTTATGCCAAGTTCC